TAGCAGCGTGTAATTCGATTGATTCTCATGCTGAATGTCGTGGGTTGCCTTATGCAGCCTTGCTTTCTGAGAACTCTGACCAGCGACATTTCCTATGGCAGCTTCATCGTCTTGCCCTGAAGCTTGGTATGTCTGCAAAGCTTTGGACCACACAAGATCTGTACCACGTCCTCAAGCCCTCCAGAAACCCTCAGGCGTTGAGCTCTTTCAGGATCCTGGGCTTAAATGCAGCTCAAGGTCGCCTTCAGGAAGAAATTTGGGCCCAATTGCAGCCTGAACTCTGGATGCATACTGGGTCCTTTCAAGAAGGGCAATCTGAATGTTTGATGGTGGTGGCATCGGACCTTTGCGTCATTCAAATGCGTTCTGCCCTAGGCCTGCCGTCAGGTATGGTGTTAGTCGACAGACAAGAAGCTTTTGACTCTCAGTGGCGCCCATCCATGCTTCTGCCGCTTGCCAAGTTGGTCCCTCCAAGACTTTGGTGTGTCATGGATGAGCTCCACAAGAACACATCGATGAGCATAGTAAGTGGCTGCAATCGATCCCCGCCCTTCTTTACGAAGGTTGGTGTTGCTCAGGGACGCAAACTCAGCCCGCTGGCTTTTTGCATTGGACAATCTGCTCTCGAGTCTGCAGCCGATGAGGCTTTGCTCGGGTTAGGGATGAACCCTCCGCTTGAGGCTGTTGCTGCCTTCCATGCGAACAAAGATGGCTCCCAAGAGGCAGAATACAACAAGTATGAAGCTTTAGATCTGCTCGATGAAGTCCAGGCAGGATTGACATCCTGGTCCTCCGCGATGTGTCGAGCCTCCTCGGACACTGTGCGCTTAGCATTGCTGGATGCTGCTTCTTCGGTCTCACGTGGTGTGAGATCGTTTGTTGATGATACGAGGATTCCGATCTCTTGGCATGGTCATGCTGTTGCAGCTCTCCAAGTATTGGACGATCAAGCTTCTAAGGAGCAGTATCGTTACAAATCTGACAAGTGCAAAGTGATTGCTCGTGATTTTACACAGCGACGGCCCATACCCCTTCAGGGTGGACAAGTTCAGTATTGTCATGCTGCAGTTCAGTTGGGTTGCAGTGTAGACGTGCTTTTCGATGGCAGTGCGCACTTGCGTGCTATTATGGAAAAAGGCTCGCACAAATTTCCTGTGCTTCTGGGCCAGATGATGAGCATGAAATTGCCTATGTTGGCCTTGCTCCGTGCTGTGCGAGTGCGAATGATTCCTGCCGTCATGTTCGGTGTGGAACTGGTTGTGAACGTACCTTTTTTTGAGAAGCTTCTTAACGGGATGCAAGCCCGTTGGATGCGTGGCATGCTTGGCATTCGTGCGACAATACCCTGTACTGTCATGATGTTTGAACTTGGAATGGAGGATCGCCTTTCCTCCATTGCATGGGTGAGAGCCACGATGCTACGTGTTCGCTCACAAGTAGATCCGAGATATGATCATGAGCGCCGCATATTCAGTGTTGCAGAAGGAGAGCCTTCTTCTTGGTCTGCGATCCTGTCCAGGAAGTGCTGTGCGGTGGGTATTTCATTGCCTGACGAAACATGGCATGATTACTCTACCAGCCTGCGCGCTTACCACCTTCGGCAATTCGCCCAAACATGTGTTCTTCCTGCGTTTCGCAGACATGAAGCAATTTCTTGGTGGGACCAGTCTAAACAGCAGCAACACTGGAAACGCTGGGATCCTCATTCTTGGACTCTAGCGGGAATAGTTGGTCATGGCACCTCCATCTTTGATGCGCAAGCTTGGGCACAACTAAAGCTGCAGGGGTTTTTCACCGATGACGACAACGACGGTTTATCTCCGGCCCCCATCTGCTCATTCTGTGGGCTTGTCACCCCTGAGGATGTGGACCACTTGCTCCATGATTGTGATGCTTGCCGGCAGATTCTCCCACAAGCAATCCTTGTGGCTTCCCCCCAGACAAGGCGGACGGTGGGCAGCCTTCTGACACATCTATCAGAAGTGCTGGACTGGGTTGCGGCAGCTGGTCGACTCCGTAAAGCTCGGAAATCAAAGAAGCATAGCCGGACGTGACGTTGTCCTGGAATGAAGAAAAAAAAAGAGAGCCGTTGCCATGGACCACCATCCTGCTTGCGAGGTTGTGTGCGTCCATGTCCGCATCCTGTACTTACCCCTTTTAGTATGTTCTTCTGTGGTCCTAAAACCAAAACGGTGCCTTGCTTCATGGTCTTAAACCGGTACTGTGCCTGGATTTTGTGGTCCTAAAACCAAAACCGTGCTTGTGCCTCTGTGATCCTATGTTCAAGCTGTGCATCGGTCACGCTTGTTTGTGGTCCTATAACCAAAACGGCGCCTTGGTTCGTGGTCTTAAACCGATACTGTGCCTTGGTTATGTGGTCCTAAAACCAAAACCGTGCTTGCTTCTGTGATTCTATGTTCCAGCCGTGCATCGATCATGTTCTGTATTGCCATCTCGCCTTAGGCCTGAGACTTGGACCTTGAATTCATTAATTTTGGGTTCTTCAATTATTTTTTTTGATTTTTTGGCAGATAGAGCCTCTTGTTTGGTTCCCCTTAATGATGCCCTGATGATGTCTTCAGCTCAAATCAAGATCGTTCTCCCGGCTGTGTGGATTCACCCTGTTGCCTCCAATTATGCATTTGCATAGTTGTGTGGTGGACCTCTGGGTTGTCCTCGTCTGTCCGGCTGCCAGAGAACGTAGGGGAAGAGTCTAAAAAATATGCTGTGCGCAGTGAATTCTTTCATTGCTCACTGCCGTGTTCTTTTTGAATACAGCGACTTCTTCTCCTTGTTGTGATGCCTGCTGAGTCTGGCGGCAGTAGGCTAGGTCCGATGTCTCTTGACTTGGACTGACTGCGTGCAAGAAAAAAAAATGCGCGCGTTGACTGTTTTGTTGCATGTACCTGTATGGACCATGAGCAAACTGCATGTTGCATTTGGCGCCTCACCAATTCGAGCCAGCTAGACAGGATTGATACGTGGGACCAATTTGAAGTCATTATCTGTGCAAAATTGGGTATAGCGATGTCGTAAAAAGTGCGGTTCTTGCGAAAAAGAAACATCATGCCAAACATCTGCTCAAAAAAACCTGCACGACAGATAACATGTCAGAGCATCGTCCCAGCGTTTCCGAAGTCTTCCAGCCTTTCTTTTCGGCTGTGTTGCGAAGTTGTTATGGCCGCTTGGATCCCAGCCTGCGGCAAACGATGGCCAAACATACTGTTTCACAATTCGCACTTGGGCCGCTTGGGGCACTCCAAGTCCGTGAGCCTGATTCCAATATGTTCCAATCACGGCCTTGCCTTCCTGCCAAGAGCTCACTTTGGACTCGCCTGTTTCCGTGCATTGCTGCTCCGCCGGCTCCGCTTGCCTTTGCCGCTCGACGCTGCAGCCTGTCGCTGCCGTCGCCCCGTTGACCCCCTCGGTGACCACCGCGCTGCTTGCCCCCGCTCCGGCATCCTGCGGATCCTGCGGTCCCGCGGCCTCGCGCTCGAGCGAACTGCTGCCCGTGTTTGCCGCGAGGCCGGGGCTACAGTTGCCAGCAATGCTCTCGTGCGGGACCTCAACATCCACCCTGAGCGCCTCGATGACCGCCGCATCGAAGTCATCGCAAATGGACTCCCGCTTTGGGCCGGAGCACAGCTTGCTGTCGACACCCTGTGTCGCTTCTCGATGCCAGCGGAGCTGCGCGCCGGCACCAGCGACAGGACCGTGGCGCCGCCGTGCGCCTCGCCCGCAGGACCAGGGAATGCACGTACCCCGAACTGCTGCGCTCGCAAAGGTGCAGGCTCGTTGTTCTTGCACTGGAGGTCGGAGGCCGCTGGAGCTCGGAGGCTGCCCAGTTTCCGTGCCGTCCCTCGCCCGCTGCGACCTGCAGCCATCGCAGCCTTCTCTTCCCATGGTCGGCCCTGCTCGCTTGTTCTGCCGCCAGAGCCTTCGGTGCCGACGGCGACCAGCCGCTGCTCAGCGAGGTCCTTTTTTCGACTTCGACGAGACCCCGCCCCTTGCCAGCCGTTTTTCCCCGCGCCCTTGAGAGAGCCTTCCTGCAAGCCTGGCCTTCACGCCGTAGGAATCCGTAGGACGTCGCCTTGGGGTTGGGCCTGCTGCACTGGGACCGCGTCGCGGATTTAAAAAGGTGCGTGAAAAAATCACGTGTCGTTCGCTTGCTTGATGACGCAGCTTTTACCCCCTCAAAACCCCACTCGGCGAGCTCCTGGCGGCGCCGCTGTAGTGCCGTAGTGGCGACCCAGCTGGGACGGAAAAAGGCGTGTGAAAAAAAAAACCCACTGTTGGAGCTCCCTCACCGGTGCTGTCCTGTCCGCCGTCTCCGTGACACTGGCTTCCAACCGTTTGCCTTCGGCGACTTGTCCCCGTGTCTCTCGCTGTCCCTCTGTTTTTCTGTAGCTGTGTCGCTCTGCCCGTCTGCCTCTCCCTCTGTCCCTCTGTTCCTCTGTTTTCCTTTGTGTTTATGTTAGTCTTCTTCCTGTTTGTTTTTTTTCAGAAGCCGCCCCGTTTCCGCCCGGTAGTTTTGAGAATGAGTGCTGTTAAAAACCTCGCGCATGTTGCCGCCCAGGTTTGCTCCAAGGCCTGGGGTGGATCGAGAAGGTGCGTCATGTCATACGTGCTTGTGGTGGACTCTAGCCGCAGGTTTGGCTTTGGCTACTGAGCCGCGGCACCGAAATTAGTGCATGAGTGGGCAAGCATGGTTGCATGATGCGCACATCAGCATTCTCTATGACCTGAGGATGTATTTCTTGGTCATGGAATACACCTCGTCAATACTGTTCCGCAACCTTGCCTTTGCGAGATATCAAGGGCTGGAGGCCAGAGAGCGGGCAGGTTTCGTTTCAAGAACAGTGATTCTGTGATATCTTGTGTATATGGGATTTCCCTGACTGTGCGTTGCTGCGCCGTGGCTGTGCGTTCGGCAAGGTCTATGCAGAGAGAGCGGCTTGGCAACGTCAGCATAACAACAGACAGCCGTTTGATGATGTGTCATGTTTCAGACCAAGGTGGCACCGCAGTGGGCTGGTGCCCCAGCAGATAGCGCAGGACAGGCTAACAAATCCGAGACAATTGAGCCATGTACCTGACTGTTGCGAGCATGTGGAGTTTGTTTTATTCTTCTGGCATCTTCTGGGGTCGAGGGTTGTGCACGGATTTCGCCCCCTAAAGCTGCGAACGCGCGATCTAGCTGCACTGTCGCACAGCAAGCCAAAGCTGTGTCAGGCTGCATGAAGCTCGGTGCATGATTGATGGTGCGGAACATGATACCACACGAACATGGTACTCGCACCACACGACATGTAAAGGGACTTCGTGCTTGGATGAGGAGTGCTGCTGAGTGATGGTTCTTCCGTCGTGCCACTTGCCAAGGCACATGTACCAAACCATGCAGACTTGTGCAGGCAGATTTTGATTTACTGTATGTTTTTCGCATACCCACCCGCTCGCAGCTGCATTTCCGCCAGCGCAGCTTTGAACGTTGGCCCAAGCAACAACATACACCATTCGGAAGGTGTTCCATATTCGTGTGCATTGCTGAGCTTAGATCCGTTCACTGCGAATGTGGTGGATGGTGGCAACCCAGCTAGCTCCATGTAGCCATGTGTGCGTGTCCATATATGTCATCAAATGTCTCAAACGGCATATTGCCACACGGCAAGCACAACATCAAACTCGGGCACAGACCAGCTGTTGATTCGATTCGATGTCGTGGGCCTGCGCCATCCGCCGGCTGCCGTAATGTCGGATTCAGAGGCCTTGTTTTGTTGCCGTGGTCTGTGCATGCAAGGAAACGTGCCTCGGGGTTGATATGCGGTGAATAAGGGGGCCTGAACAGTTAGAATAAGGTGTCGGGGTACATTATCCGTCACATGCAGGTCGGGCCGTTCAAGACCCCGTATTTAGAGACCCCTTATAGCAGCCCTTACAAAACCCTTTCCAGGGACACAATTGCAATAATTAACCCAGGCCAAGAAAATTAGACCGTGAAAGGCTGAAGCACAGGAGATGGGTCAAGATTGGTTAATATAAGCTTGGCGTTCTTCGGTTGGCTCTTGGGTGGTTGTCCAAATTATGGTCCCTTGTCGGGTCCCTAACATAATGCACCACCGACAATTTAAGATACCCCAAGAGGGACCGTAACTTTATGTTATTTTGACAACTACCCTATTCGGTTTCAATATGAACTATAATAAGGAGGATGGCGGTTTAACTATTAGAAGGGGTTCAGAAGTCAGCCAAGCAAGGGCCTATACAATTACCTACGCTTTCTTGGGGGGTTCCGTATTAGCAGCCTTCAGAATTAGGATGGGATGTTGGGATATCCTATACTATGACTATAATTTTGGACCGTCTAATAAGGAGCTTCATACCAAGAGGGGTGTAGGTTCAAGCCTGCAGAAAGTGCGTGGATTGTTTTTGTCGCTTGTGAAAGGAATACGTGCTGCCCCAACAAGCTGCCTGCGAACCGACTGTTGTGTCTCGGTTTGGGATTGATTGCGCAGTGATCGTGGTGATTTCCAGCCCAGCCCGGGGACATGTGCCGTTATGTTGTTAATCGCCAACATCTGTCGGTTACGCTACCCGCACACGCATGGATGCGTTGTGTTTTGCATGCTTTAGCAGTCTAGCTAGTTAAATTTGCAGGTCGGCATGCCGCTGGTGCAGGACGGTTCTTGATGCGAGTTTCACAACAGAAGGTAGACTTGTTCGATGCGACGGCTTGGCCCAAGTGATCGTGAAAATCTGAACCAACAGGCTCTGTTCAGTCGTAGGATTCGGTAGGTTACCGGCATCCCCTGAGGAGGTCGTCGTCCAACCCATGGCTTGCATTGTCATTTCAACGGATGATGCATGGAGCTTTAGCTGCAGCTGTGCAATGTCGGTTTTCACTGCAAGCAAATCTGTGGACTAAGGCAACCCGTGTATTGCCTGCTCGTATGTTCTAGTTTGGCATTTCCTACCCGTACTTGGTCCAGGTGTTAATGCCACCTTATGTTGCTCAATAGAAAAGGACTGGAAAAACTTGAGTCCCCTCGATGAGGGAGATGATGTGTTGTTCTCTTAGTAGTTGCTGTGGTTGTCACCGAACCACACAAGAAGTGTGAAAGAGCCACCTCGGCCCACAGACATGACAACGCGTAGAGCTTCAAGACAGGGCGTCACAGGGATCTTGTACAGGTATTAGGGCCCCCTACCCCTCTCCCCCTACCCCCCTGAGGGTCCCTGTGATTGAGGCTTTTGCAGAAGCAGCACTGCCAAGAGGTTGCAGACAGACTGCTGGCTGATTACCAGACTTCGCAGCAGCAGCTCCTTGACCCAAGGTTTAGGGTTTAGGTTTTGGGGTCTAGGGTAATCTTGTCTGTGGTGTTTGGAGGCCTGGATGCAAAAGGGTAATCTTGTGGAATCCGATCGCTGCGGTTACGACTTCAGGGACGTTACATCCATGACCTCTTGCAGATCCACGTAAAGTTTTCAGTGCCCTGGCCCTGTCCCCACTTGTAAGGAAAGGATCCTGGTTAAACTGAAGAAGACCCTCAAACCCATTCACGTCGGCTTTACTGACCCGTAGGTACCCTTTAACCTTTTTTTGGGTAGTATAGTCCCTATATAACCACAAAGGTTAACCTTTAGTTCCGCGTGATACCCGACAAGTAGGATAGTATGTCCGTCGGTCAACTGCCCAGATGTGCCAGGCATGGGGCATTGCATGGCAATCTTATGATTTGCTCTCATCGACGGGTTTTGTAATGCAAGTTTTACGCTTGTGACACCACTTGTGCAAGCTGGGAGATTCGAAACCCTAAAGCTCGGATGCGTCCGAGTTGTAAGAGCATAAAGCTCCAGGCACAAAGCGTTTAACAGTTTCATCCCCAAGCCCTAAACCCTGCACCCTTTAAGCCCTAAACCCTAAACCCTTTAAGCCCTAAGCCCTACACCCTTTAAGCCCTAAACCTTTTAAGCCCTAGACCCCAAAGCCTTTAAACCCTAAACCCTTTAAGCCCTAAACCCTTTAAGCCCTAAACCCTTTAAGCCCTAGACCCCAAACCCTTTAAACCCTAAACCACTAACTCCTAAACCCTTCAAGCCCTAAACCCCAACCCCTTTAAACCCTAAACCATTAACTCCTAAACCCTGTAAGCCCTAAACCCTAAACCCTTTAAGCCCTAAACCCTGAACCCTTTAAGCCCTAAACCCTAAACGCTTTAAGCCCTAAACCCTAAAAGCCCTAAACCCCAAACCCTTTAGGCCCTAAACCACTAACTCCTAAACCCTTTAAACCCCTTAAGCCCTAAACCCTAAACCCTAAACCCTAAAAGCATTGAACCCCAAACCCTTTAGGCCCTAACCCTTTAAACCCTAAGCCCTAAGCCCTGAACCTTAAAACATAACAAATGAGGAGCCGTAAAGGCCATTAGTTGCAAGCACCGATTAGCCCCTAGTCAACCTCGCTTGTGGACATAGTTGCCAGCCATGCGAGAGAGAAAAAAGACCCTTGAGTCCTAAACCCCTAGACCCGTTCACCCTTAAATCTAACCATTCTAAACCCTTTAAGCCCTAAACCCTAAGCCCTGAACCCTTTAAGCCCTAAACCCTGAACCTTTTAAGCCCTAAACCGCAAACCCTGAACCTTCTAAGCCCTAAACCATTTTTTTAAGCCCTGAGCCCTAAAACCCTAAACCCTGAACCCTAAGCCCTACCTTAAAATCCCAAACCCTACTTTTTTTGTTTGTTCTTATTATAAACCCCAGTATGGAAAACAAAGGAACCCGACAAAAAAGTCGGTGTTGGGAGGTTAAGGTAAACCCTGAACCCTAAACCCCGGTACTCAGGCACCCGGATGTTTGCGTCTCTGTCGGCTCACTGGGCCATCCTTGGGGCTGCGCCTGGGCCTGCCGCTTTATGACGCCTGGGCCGCATTCGTTTAGGGTTTAAGGTCTTAGGGTTTTTGGGTTTTGGGGTTTTGGGTTTAGGGTTTTTGGGTTTGGTGTTTTTGGGTTTAGGGTTTTGGGTTTTTTTGGTTTTAGGGCTTTTGGGTTCAGGGTGCAGGGTCCCATGTGCATGGATGGGCCTCGGTCGTGGTTATAGAGGTCGAGGGGATTTTTCTAGTCTTCAAGCCCAGTAGCAAAAAAGGGGTGCAGGGTCCGAGGATGTAAAAGTCTAGAATGATTGCGGAAGGAAGACTGTAGGGTTCTTGACCAGATGTAAGCAATGTGAGATTTCAGGATTTGGGGTTCAGAAGCGTTTAGAAGATATTAGGGTTCTGTGACGGTTTCGTGTTTTGCGGCGGTTCTGCTCGAGTGCTTTGGGGTTTTTCTGCCTGCGAGGACTTTTTCCGTGTGTTTGGGTGTATGAAGGTCGGGGGGCTTTTGGGGTTTACAAGAAATTAGGGCTTTTGTTTGTTGCGGGTCTGTGGAAGGCTGCATGGCAACACGGTTACAGGAGTGGCCAGGGTTATGGACAGCGGGTTTTGTTTCTATCAGGTAAACACTAAGCCCAAAACCCGCGGGTTCACGTGTGGATAATTTTCAGAGTCCAAGAAGTTTTGCGCCCCCTAAGAGGAAAGAAGGCTGTATTTGTGGGGTTTGCAAGGGGTCAGGGCCTATAGGGTTTGCAAGAGTTTTGGGGGGTTCCCTAAACCCTAAACCCTTAAACGGGGATTTGCAGGATTTATGGCTCGAAGGGTGTAGGCGAGTTAGGCACTTGTGCAGTGTTACATGGGTCTTGGGCCTGAAATTGGTGCAGCGTTATAAGGGAGATCTTGGGGTTGTGTATAGCATACCGTAAGGTTTAGGGTTTCGGGTTTGGGGGTGTAGAAAAAAGGGTTTACGTTTAAGGTCATAGGCGTTAGGTTTAGGAGTTTAAGGGTGTTTTGGCATATCAGGGTCAGGCCTACTTTCCTTCACCCATTGACCAACTAACCAACTTTGTCGCCTGTCGTATTTCTGTTTGTGTTCGTCGCTACCCTTCGTATTGTAAATGTCATAATTTTGAACCACAGCCCGTCACAGCCCCATCAACCTTTGAGTAGAAGCCCTGCCTGGCACTGAACTTGGGCCAAGGGCCTGTGGCGTAGTGATGTTTTGAGCAGTGTTGGGGTAAGCGTTTTCGGGATTCAGGGCTCACGCTTGAATGTGGTGGCAGTTCGATTCCAGTCTTCGCAGCAAGGTTGAAACGGCGAGCGTGTGATCTCAGTGAATCTTGAGAATGGCAGCTGTGTGCTGCTTTAACCAGTTGAACCAAACAGTACGAGGCCGCATGACTCCCCAAACCTTGAAGCCTAAACCATAAACCCTAAACGACCCTAAAGCCTAAACCCAAAACAATGGTGAAGCCGAGTTTCCGACAGGAAGCGCGGAGCGGGCTGCGTGCATGGTCGCCAATGCACGCGCTGCCATCTTTGCACCTGGTCGAAAGCCGTGCTGAAGATGGAGAAGAGATGCAAGGTGCAATCAGTTTCGGCTGGTAGAGTAATTAATATAGAGGCCAAAATAATACCAATACTATTTTGGGGGGCTCCTTTTTATATTTTTTATGGTATACTCTGCCCCGAAGCCCTATTCGAATTATATATCAAGGCCCTTATATTAACTAAGGTTGCAGGAAAAGGCGCTCATGGCAAGTCATTCGACGGGTTACAAGTACCATCAAGATAGAGTTCTTCGCCATCAAAATGGATTCCTACAAAAGATAGCATGAGATAGCAGCTGCTACCAACTAAGCCTTAAATCCTAAATCCTAGAGATCATAAATCCTAGAAATCTTAAATCCTAGAAATCCTAAACCTTAAATCCTAAGCCCTCAATCCTAATAGGCCCTAAATCCTAAATCCTAAACCTCAAATCCTAAACCCTCAATCCTAAAGCCTAAACCCTAAACCCTGCCCTAGGCCCAAACTGTCAAGCCCCAAAGCCAAAGAAGACGCTTTGGGATGCATTGGCATGGTTCTGTACTCCCATAACTTTGTTAGTGTTCGTTTAGGGGTGCTCTCATTGACTCATGGCACTACACAGGTTGTACAATACGGGCTGTATATAGAAAGATAGATTGCATATACAGTGTATATATATATATATATGTATATACACCTACACATATACACACATTTTTATGGAGATGTACACACACACAGATATATGTGATAATATATATATATATATGTATATAGAAATTGCGCCTTACTCACCCGGGAAGGATAGTGCGAGTGGCAGGATGCGCAGCAGGCGCCTCAGGGCGTGGCCAGCTCCATCGGCTCTAGAGGCACTTCAGGGTTTGGGGCTTGGGGTTTAGGGTTTAGGGTTTTCAGGGTTTTTTTGGGGTTTAGGGTTTAGGGTCTGGGGCTTGGGGTTTAGGGTTCAGGGGGCTTGGGGCAAAGATTGATCTAGGTTTGCATGTAGAGTAGTGAGGCGGGAATCGCAGGTCTTTGGTCATACAGATGGGTTGTCCGTCGGACAGTCAGCTTCCCTGATCTTTGTCGTTGGTATTGTTCTTTTGTGAGCCCGCCGCCACCTAGAAGGCCATCCAGAACACTGTGCCTGGGCTTGCCGCTTCATGAAGCGCGAAGCAGGCTGCATCAACAAGGAGCGGTTGATGTCGGATCGGATAGGGCCCACACGACTCAGCTTGCGGGAGGGTCTGTCTTGAAGGAGCTGTGCCCCCGCTGCCACCTCTGCACGTGGTCGAAGGCAGCTTTGGAGCGACCCGATGAGGGAAGTCTGCGAACTCAGCCTGCCCCCCCACCGCCCCTTCTCGCCGGCCGGTGCAGTCTGGAGCTACATGTGTAGTCGCAGTAGTCCTTCACGCTTCGTTTGCTTGGCTGAGAGATTTTTCGCCCTCTTTTGCCTGGGAGGCCACATTGAAGAAGGAGCAGGCAGCCAAGAAGCTGCAGCAGGCCTCTGTCTCAGTGGCCTATGCAGGCATTCCGCAGCCGGTGCCTCTCATGGTGCAAGCCATGGAGCCAGCGACGAGCTCAACGTTTCAAGCCTGGCAGGGCAAAGCTGAAGGCACCTACGAAACCGAAGCCCTCGGAAGTCAAAACCTGGCATCCAAGCCGGGCAGCAGCGATTTGAATGCTTCTGCGGAAGTAACTTCCGCAGAAGGCTGGACTCAGACTCTGCGGCACGAAGAAACGAAGCATGGGGCAGATCTAGACTCCTGTGGTATGGCCGTTGCATTCCTTTCGATTTCCGTGCCTGCCTGCATTTGCATTCATGATGTGACCGCTCTTTTAAATCGTCCTCAAAGAGTACAACACCCAACAATTTCCTTGAACCCTAAGACTCAAGAATTAAGTGATCCAATGACGGGGTATACTATAGGGGCCTAAAAAATTACCCCACCTATTCTAGCGCTTCCTCATTATAATTACAGTATAATGGGCTCCAGAATCACAACCCTATTCCAAATATTAAGGCCCCTGCATTGTAGTACCCTTATGGACCCCTTATAAAGCCCTTTTAAAGGCAGCCTTTTAAAGGGAGCCCTGTTCTAGCTATCAATGCCCCTGCAGTTTGGGGCTGAACCGCAGGCACTGGAGGGGTCGCCGTACTCCCACGGCTGGAATGTTTCCGTGGAGATTCAGGCGGAGTGCTGATGTCGGCTGAAGATTTCAGTCACAGGGACTCTTAGGGGGGTAGGGGAGGGGGGGGTAGGGGAGTATACTTCCTTAAACAGGTCTTATGAAGTCCTTATTATAGGTATCATCTGTCTGGTGGGGAATGGGGGAATGGATCCCTAGAGTAGTCCCTATATAATCCCCAATAATAGTCTTCATAATCCACTCCCCCATTCCCTACTAAGCACCAAACAGTCATAGGCCAACCTGCACCACGCGTATCCCAAGCCGGAGTGCACTTTACATCGGAAGGCACCTCGCGTGAACCTGTCTGCACTTGGCGGCGAACCGCAGCTTGGTAGCATCACCGTGTCCGTGCCCGTATACTTTCTCAGCCGAGCCGTAGTCATTTGTGCAGGCAAAACCTGAGAATGCCATGCAGATTGGAGCTAAGGTTCAATCTGCGGGACGTCTCTCAGGCTCCTTTCCTGCTTTGGAGACGATGACCACCTCTTGCATTACATGGGTCTCCTCACTACTTGGAGGATCATGGGACTTAGTAAGTAGGGTTTTAAGTACCTGAATTGGGGCTATAAGTAGATATAACTGTAGTTACCTTACTTATAGCCCTACTTACTAAGTCCCATGGTCCTCTAAGTAGATGGACACGTCGAGAGTTGAACTCCTCCTGGTTCGGGTCGTTCCTTTTTCACAAGCGGTGCTCCAACGCGCCACGGCCCTCCAACCTCCCTTCATAGGGGACCCTTCGGGGTATAAGGGGGAGGGGGTTAGGGGACTACACTTCGTTAGGTCCTTATGACGGGCCTCCCTCTCCTTACCCGCCTAAGGGTCCCTATGATCCCTCTCTCTCCTAGGAGTATCTGCCGGACTTCTCGCACGATCAGGGCGTCGCCTTCCTTAGCGAGTTTGTTGCAGGCCGTTTCGACCCGTCGTCGCACCGTGAACATCAGCAGAACAGGGGTGGTGATCTTGCGTTTTGTGCTGGGTGGTGCCGACGGCAGTGGTGATTGGACGATGGAGATAAGATGGCTATCGTGCACGTTGAGTCTAAGGGGAACTTCACGGTACATGTGGTGGGGTTGTTTGTTTTGTGCGTGCAGAGAAAACGTTACATGTCGACATAGCGTTATCTTCAAGTGGAGGGACGGTTTGGTGCCATGGAGCACAGAGTAGAAAAGTGTAGAAGTGCCCTAGCCCAAAGCTGGAAGATCGGCTGAGAGGCAGCTCCATCGTGATGTGGGTGCCATGGGCTCAGGACGGCTCGGAGATTGGGCTCAGCATGAAAATTTTCTACTTACGGGCTCAGCGCCGGGAGTCAAAGTTTTTGCAATACCGAGGCTGATCGTACTTGTGCCTTTGTTCGTCTCCTTTCGTGGGAAGAAGCGGCCCTATGTCGCTGCCATGGCCTTGCGAGCCTCAGCTTAAGGCTTTCCTGCAACTTAGGGTTTAGGGTTTAGGGTTTAGGGTTTAGGGTTTAAGGCTTTCCTGCAACATTGTGGATGCTGTCAAAGTTGGCTCTGGCAAATCTTGACAGCTCGACAAGTCCACTAGTTCCGACGTGCTGCACCCCGGCTTTGGTGTGGCATTGCATCCGCCGTGCTGCGCTCAGGAACTCTGCGGGCAGCCTTCGTAGTGCACATTCTGCGGGCCACTAGCTCGGAGTTGGTGTTCACGCCATTCAGTTTCTAGGCTAGCTGTGCTTGCTGCCGTTGTAGTGACCTGGCTGAGCTTCCGTGGTGATGACAGTGCGTGCCCATGGGTCCCAGTTGCAATCTGCAGCTCTCCGACCGATCAGATACCCACCTACCTGACCACCACCCTCCCTGGAGCGGCTCCGCACTGCCAGCGCGGGCCCTGGCCTCGCTACAAAGGAAACCAAAGCCAAGTTGGCAGCACTTGCTGTAGCGGATCGAAGCGAAAGCAGATATTGAGCCAGTGGGTGGCGAGCTGCATCTCTTCGTAGCTGCCAAAGCCGAGGAGTGTGAGGTGGCCTTCGAATTTTGCAAGGCCAAAAGGTGGTTGGGAGGCTCGGAGCAAGTTCGCGTGAAGTCGTCGCACCTGTGGGAGGTACAGTGTCGGATGCATGTTGACATGTCGTGATCAAGCGATTCTCAACACTGATGGCCAGGAGAACCAGAAGCACGTGCGCACAGCACCTCCGCTGCAGTAAGCCAAGCTATCAAGCCATTCTTTCTCATGCTGTGCGATTGGAAGGATTTTTGTGTACAAGTCCTGCCCCGGCTCACCCTTTTTTGAGGGCTTAGTCTGTCCTTATCTTGTTTGTTCTTTCGACCGCATGCTGATCCGCAGTGTCGAGGATCAAGCCGTTTCGGGTGCCCCCCACGACTCGTAGATTTGCCAAACCCTCTGTGCGTCATGTTAGCCTTTGCTCTAGCCTTGCTCCCTGTGGCAGCCATCGCATTCCGGGCTGAAGTGGCCACCAACCGGACGATGGGGACCTCACTGCCGGACTGCTCGGCATGGTATGAGAACCTGCCGGGGAAATTCAAAGCAAAGTTTGGATGGACCAGTGCGGATCGCAAGGAGTATATCACCAAATCGCCTGATCCTTGTGCAGCGGTTGGCTTGGAGTGTTGTGAAGGTCACTGTGGCCTGGAGGGCTGCGGAAAGGAACTGGAATGCCTCGAATGCAGAGCTAAGCTGGCAGGTGTCCCGGGTGAGGTGCAGAAGGAGATTTGTGAAGACAGCCAGAGACCTGGATCGACATACTGTTTGATGTTCCATTCATCCTCTGTCAAACCCTAAACCCCTCAACCCTAAACCCCATTGAAAAACTTCCTTGAAGCCGAAGATGTTGCCAAAGCTGGAAAGGGAGGTCTGGCAGACGATGCACTACAGCCTCTTTTGGTGGCAAACTCTGGCTCTTTCGGGTTCTCTGTATGATTCTGGTTTGCTCCAATCAGAGAAACCTATAGCGCTTCTATCTCTAGCAAAATGGGAGTTTCCGAAATTAGGAGTACCTTATTTTGGGGTCCTTATAGTAAGGGTCCTAGTATTCAGGGTACTATATTAGGGTCCCCCATTTTCGGAAACTCCCAAATCGGCTAGGGTGATTCAGCCTGCGCGTGCTGTACATGCACATGCAGTTGCTGGAGTCAGAACCTCGTAAAGGCATTGCAGTCAGTACCTAGACAGCATGAGGTGAGATATTTGCCGGAGACCGTGCAATTCCACCCATTTCTGCATTGGATAGGCATGTTTCAACGCTGGGCATCCCAAATATGTGCTATTCTTATGAGATTCTCAGGCATGCACAGATTGTAAATCTTCGAATTAATATTTCACCACTTAATCTTCATTTCGGTCTTCGTTTTCATCTCCATCCTTGGGTTCGTTCTTCATTTCCACCATCATTTGATTTCCGGCTTCGTTTTCGTCATCATTCCTCTCGTCGCGCCTGATTCAGAAATCAGGTTGTCCACCATGTATTCTTCGTTAGAATCATCGTGTGTTCTTCATTTTCCTCGTCGGCCGGCCTGGGGGAGGTCCTGGGCAGGGACTGGAGCGGAAAATGAAGAACAACTACAGATTCCCTAGAAAAATCTCATTGTTTTATCTTCCTCGTCAGCGGGCCTGGGCGGAGTCTCTGGGGAGGGGCTGGAGCGGAACAGATTTCAGAAAAATGAAGATTGCCTAGGGAAATCTTCATTTTTTCGTTACACCCGTCTTCATTTCAATCATCATTTTCCTCGTCAGCCGGCCTGGGGGGAGGTCCTGGGCAGGGGCTGGAGCGGAGAATGAAGAAACATGATGATCAAGATGAAGATGAAAACGATGATTAAAAATGGGGCGAACGAAAAGCGAAGAACAAAATGAATAACATGTGATGATGAGCATGATGATTAAAAATGGAACGAGGATGAAAACGAAGAGCAAAATGATGATGACAATGAAGAAATATTAACTGAGATTGCCACAGTGTGTCCATCAAAGGTTCTCATAATGCTATTCAACATGTTCATGTTTGAGTGCCTTCGACACACGCCCTTTTATCCATTGTGTTCTATCTGCTCCAGGATTGTGTCCATGTTGTGCGGTTGGTTGATGAAAAAAGCAAGGACTTGCAGCAACCGGTTCTTCAACGACTGTGTCTTCTTGGCTGGAGAGTGCACTCGCAAAAAGCAGCCTTGCGACAAGTGCACCAAGTCATACAGTCACCGGCCCCGTGAAAGATTCTTAAATGGGTGGGGTTCAGTTTGAAGTAATGCGACATTTGCCTATTTATCATACCGGCCTCCCATGACTGTTGCCATGGCCATCGCTAGACAGCTGAATGTTCTCGCCTCTCGGCTTTGGGTCATTTGTGTGCCCAGGTCAAAGTGGGCACGAAGTCGCCAAAGCAGCTTGTGAGAATCGAGAGCTTTGCTACCTTCCCCAGATCGGCACCTACAAAGAGGGGGGCTGCATCTGGAACGACTACCACGGGAGATGCGATCGAGGTGCCAGTGAAAGGCATGAGCAGTATAAAGAGATCTTTGGCGACTGAGGTGCTGCGGCACTGACGGGCCCAAGTTGACACAAAAAATGGTGCTCGTTTGTGTCATCATTTCGGGAGTACCTTTAAAGCGAGTGCAGTCCCGAACCTCGCCAGAACCGCCTGTTTCGTCATCCATTGGTGAGGCCCAACACGCAGCACACGGGAGCAGCAACCCAAAACTGTCTTTCTTCAAACGGGGATCAGGGATCTCAGGAATCTCCTTAATCCCTTGAACGCACAGTGCGACCGGCCGGCTAGGTGGGTAGGAACAAAGCCCAAACCAATCCGTGTTGTGCACGTTTCTCTCGATGGCTGAGGTGTGGGACTTGTTCTTTAGCACGTTGCTCGGCTGGCAGTGGATGATCTGGTTTTTGTATGTGCCTCACTAATTAGAAAAGTCATGATGTTGAGGGCAATCTTGTTTCTGATATAGGAACAATAGTGAGGAATAGTCAGAAAGGTTTTCAATGAATAGAGATAACAAGATGATCAATAGTTGAAGGGTGTTTTGGCGCATACTTTGCTGTGATCATATAGTCTTAGGGAGCCCTTCGAGTTTAGGGGCGCCTATGTCAGGGCCTATGTCAGCTTCTTGATGCCCCAATGTCGCTTCCACACTTGACCTAGACAGAGGCACAAAGAGGCTAGCTGCAACTGCTGGCAGCTTTGAGCGTGGCCTGCATGTGCAGCATTATAGCTCCCTCCCTAACCCCTAAACCCTAAGCCCTAGACCCTCAGCCCTAAACCCTAAGCCCTAAACCCTAAACCCTAAGCCCTAAACCCTAAACCCTAAACCCTAAACCGTAAACCGTAAACCCTAAACCCCTAAACCCGAAACCCTAAGCCCTGCTTGAGGTACAACCTCACACACAACAGCAACTGCGGAGATTTGGTCTTCAGTGGCCACACGGACGGGGTCTCAGTTTCCTGCCCCAGATGATCTCAGAAATTCCTTGTAGTAGAGTAGGCAACCTTTAAGCTTTTTTGGTTAGTATAGTCCCCATATAGTCCCTATCTAACCAAAAAGGTTAACCTTTAGTTCCCCATGATACCCGACAAGTAGAAATTAGTGTTTGGTGCACAGATACATGGCGTCGCGACACCCGAAGCGCTTAAACCCCACGCCCCAAACCCTGAAGTCGTGAAGCAAAGCCCTTAGACCCTTTCGGCTAGGCCCTTCCTTAGCCCAGCAATACCTGCTTTTTGTAGGTTCCGATTATTAGGGTTTATGGGTTTATGGAATTTATAGGGACCCTGCAAGAAAGTTCTGGTGGGTGAAGGTTTGAATCTGATCTGAAGCCCTCGACCTTAAACCCAGGAAGCCTGATCTGCTCAGGATTTAGAGCTCCGGCCCGGGTGTGCAGGAGTTTTGCGCAACCTTCAGGGGCTGGGGTCTGTAGTTTCGGGCTTAGCGTGTTTAGAATTTAGAAGCATCCATGAACCACATGCATTTTGAAGAGACGATCAGACTTCAAGCCAAGACAAGGCAGGTAAGGCCACCCCGGCTGTTTAGAGCACGCATAGTGAATGCATGTCCCATGGCAACTCTTTCAGTAGGGTTTCGGGGCTTCGAGGTTGGGGTTTAGGGTTCAGGGGTTAAACCCTAAACCCTAAAATTAGCCCTAAACCCTAAACCCTAAACCCTAAAATTAGGTTTCAAGAGTTTAGAGCTCAGGGCTTCGGGTGCAGGTGACGACGGCCACGCTCTTGGTGGCAGTGACACTCGACGGCAGAATATAGGAATCCGAATGCCAGAGAAAGAGAGAGAGAGAGAGAGAGAGAGACAGAGAGAGAAAAGTTAGCTATAGCAATTGTTTGGGGTTCCCATATGGGAGTTTCCAAAAATTAGGGGACCTTACTTTATGGTCCTCATAATAAGGATCCTACTATTTAGGGTACCATATTAGGGTCCCCTTTTCGGAAACTCCCATATAATTCAGTCATCTACCCGAAAACCCTATTCTCACTAATAGCGCCCCTATTTCAGACCGCGGGCTTCTGATGGCGCATTTCCCGTTTTGCTTGGGTCAAGTTGGATGGGTATGGGTGGCCTACATGGGAGTTTCCGAAAATTAGGGGTACCTTATTTGGGGGGCCTTGTAATTAACAGAGATCCTACTATTTAGGGTGCTATACTAGGGTCCCCTATTTTCGGCAACTCCCACATGGCCAGCTGACACCACAGCTACGTGTGTTGGCAGTTATGTTCTTTTGTTGGAGAACTGTTGCATGGAGTCACGGGAGGGCTTCCGCCTTCCGCGGCGTTGGCTCTTTATGTTTGTCTTAATGGGGGGACAGGCTCTTTGAATGCAGGGCTATTTGAGCAAAATCCTTTGCCGGATGGCTAGTGAGAAGTGGTCCCCGCGTATTTTAGAGTTTAGGGTTATTAGGGCTTGGGGGATATGTGTGTTGAATGCAGCTTGATGGCCCCAATCCGTCTGGGACAGGATTCGACTCGGGAGGGAGAGCTCGTACTTTGCCCGAAAATCCAGGTGCTACTATGCAGACCAGATGCTCCCGAAGTGGATGAGGAATATCATCGTCGTAGCATCGATTCTCGGTTGCCTAAGGTCCAGCAGGGCTCTTCAACATTTTCCCCATATGAAATCGCCCGCTAAACCCTAGATCCTTGGCTTGGGCTCAAGTGGCGCGGATCTGGGGTTATAAGGGTTCCTCTAAAGGGAGCTACAGGAAGTCTTTGCAAAGGGTCCTTTGAGGGTTCTCTTAAGGGCTTGTGGAGACCAAGCTTTCCTCGCCATGGATCCTTCTCCAAAGCTCTTGGAACGCTTCCGGAAAGTGAGGGTTCGTGGTGCTTGGCAGTTTCCGTGCTCCGCAATCTGCTGCTTCCTGCACGATCACCGCCGGGCCGTCCGTCGCAATCTCTCCTGAGTGGGCTTTCTCCATTCCCAAGGAGTCGAGGTTTCCGATAAGCCTTAGCCTGAGCCTGCCTTGACTGAGCATGGGAGTTTGTTTGTAGACTTGTAGACCCTGATTTATCAGTGTAGCAGAATCCTAATTTAATTGGCTGACTTCTGAATAGTGTGACGGGAGCCCACATCCCACCTCGCTGTATGTGAGTGCAGTCATCAAAGGGTGCTGGCCTTTCATGCACAGAACAGGAAGGCATAGGAAGGTACAGTGAGTCGCTAGAAATCTGCCGGGGCCCCTGCTGAAGGTCCAGGGCCCCATTTCATGTCATGTCGGCTCTTCGTGGTACTTGCTGCAAAAGCTGCCGCTTGCATGGTGTTGTGGCGCGAAGGCAGAAGCGGTTTTTCCAGGTCCAGTAGCTGCTTTATCACATTATATTGTGACAGTCGCACTTCCTGCGGCCATGTGTCCCGATCCAGGGAAATGCACCCGTCTCCTGCCAGAGTGAAGTTCTGAGACTGTAGGAAAACTCTCCTTCGGGCGGGAAGGAGGGAAAGAAGAGCATTGGCAGTAGATTTTTGCACCTCGCTTCTGGGATAGTCGGGAAAGTTGGCTTGATGTTCTGTGCCATGCATCCAAGGACGCTTCTCCTACTCTTGCAGGTTTTCCTCATCGTAACAGTGTGCCTTACATGAAGTGGTGCAGCAGGATGATGAAGATGTTCTATGCAGGACGTTCTCTAACTTAGGATCCTTGTTAGGATCGGTTTGATAAGGGCGCCGCATTGTTTTGGGAGCTTGAAGAGGCACCCTAACTACCTTTGTATTTCTATGTGAGGAATAAAGGCTAGAGATTGCGTGCCCTGGCTGAGGGGGAACCTCAGTCGTCGAAGAAGTCGAATGAGCGTTTGGCGTAGTTCTCTAAATTGGGGTCCCCTTGTAGGTCCCCCATATAGTACGGCACCCTTGTACAAAAGCCTTAAAAGGGAGCTTAATTTAGAGAAGTACCCATATTCTCAAGAGTCCCTATTGTTATCATGACTAATATCACCAAGCTTGCTTTCGTTATATAAGCGGTGGTCTTCATTACTACTGATGCTACGTACGTTCCCACAGGCCCAAGTCTTTCAGCAGCATCGTCCCTGCAAAGTACGGTTCTGCCTTTCCAAAGGCATCTGCCACTATCGCCAGGTAGCGACACTGAAGATGGGAGTGAAAAGTAAAGGCACTCAGACCCCATCCTCGCGAGTCTTAGGGAGACCCCTTAAAGGGGACCCCTCTTAAGCCTACTTCTGGCTCTGTTAAAGGGAACCTTATTGAGAAGGTCAGCCTACTCTTATCTCCTCGCGACGATCAGAACGAAACAAGGCGCAACCACTACACGGTTGACGTCGTCATCGCGGCTTACCTGGCTCCGCTGAACTTCTGGGCCTGGTTCTCTTCTCAGATGCTTTTCATAGGGACCCTTAGGAGGGAGGTTGGGGCTTCAAATACCTATGATAAGGACTTAACAAGGCCATTTAAGTCAGATCACGGGTGAGCTTTCAGGATTTGAGGGCTTGCATACGGTTGATGATATAAATCCTGCATTACCCATAATAAGGAATGTGCCATAACTCCCATAGTTTGGGGTCCTTATAAATCATCAACAGACAGCAAAGGCAGGAATCAGGAGTAGGAGTGCCAGCCTTGCCAGCTGCCTTGCCAGCTTGGCTTTCCACGGAGGCTTTGGTGTTCCCTGCCGGCTTGGCTTTTGAAGGAGGCTTTGGTGTTTTCCTGAGGTTGAAAGTCGGGGCGCAACCTTGTGCCTCAAAAGCCGTGGGTGGAAGACTTGTAGTTCCTTTTTAGAGTTACCTTATAGGATCCTAAGCAAAAAACTGGCAAGACCAAGAAAAGGAACGACAATGGAGACTACAGGTGGGTGGTTCAGTCCATTTTTGGGTCCCTAATTTTTTACGGTACCTAATATCTAGGGTAATCAAAAAGGGACTATAATTTCGACAACTACCCAGGTAGAACCCTGCCAACCTCATGTCTGCGAGTCCGAATCCGAGGTTACACCTCGCCCCGACGGAATCCGGAGCCGACTGCTCCCGCGAGACGTCGACACCACGGAGTGTTTTGTGGCGGCAGCTAAGAGGCTTGTGTTTGATCCGGATTCGGTCTAGAGCCATTGTTGATCCTGCTGTTGCGAAAGTCGAGGTGCAGCAAAACACACTTTTTCGGGCCATCGCATATTTGTTCGGCAACATCGAGTCTTACTGTCTCGTCGTCGTCGTCGCTGTCGGTATCCGAGCTAGGAGAGCTTCGTTGGCCATCTGTGGTGCGTTTGGGATCGGCTTAAACCACGCCCCAAATTCCTTTTCCACAGTTCCCACGTTCCAAAGCACCTTGATCCCATGTTCCGTGAAGAATACGCTCCAAGCCAAGGCATTGACACCGGTGCCGGCCGGAGAAGCAGTGTGAAGCTGGAACTCTGCAGCTTTCGAAGCCCCGGAGGCGACATTCTCCTCTCAATTTCAGCAGGCCAAAGACAGCCTTTGCTGACAGCCGCAACCCGGACCTGCGGAAAACGAGCACATTGTCGTCACATCGTCGCATCGGCATTTTCTCCTTATGCCTTCGGATGTATGTAACGATGCTACAGCTGTTCCCGAGGACAGCCTCAGCATAGATCTAGTGTTGCACTTTTATCTTCACTGTTTCCTGGTCTTACTTTCAGAGACCAGGACTACTCCGACTCACCCTGATACGGGAAGAAGGCAGTTGGTGGACCGTGTGTTGTGTAACCATTGTGGCTGCAGCTTCTAAGAAAGCTTTGACCTTCAATCATACGCAGTGGTGACAGCAAAGACAAGTGTTACGAATAACGAGCATCGAATTTGCTGAGTGATGCACGCCCTTCGCCGCCTGGCCGCCTCTTTGCGCCGGGGCAACCGCACGGAGGTGAAGAAGGTTTATGTTGCCAGCTCCTCGGACGAGCTCCTTGAGGAGCCTGCGGGTGCAGTGCACCAGCCGCTGCCGGCCACGGGGCCTGCCGAGGTTCCAGAACCATCGTACGTGGACAATGCGGCGGCCTGGTCACAGGCAAGCGGCACAGATGAAGTGATGGTCGAGGAGGTGGAGGACGACATTCCAGCGTCACCTGCATCGTTGAAAGCATCGCCGTCGTTGCCGGCGCTTCCTGGTCGGGCGAGAGCATCCTTCGGCGAGGATCTTCGCAATGGCTATGAGAGCCGAGCTCGCGACCGCGAAGCCTGGCTCAGTTCCCTGTCTTCCCGGCAGGCAGTGCCTGAGGATGCACCAGTGCAGCGAATGACTGCGAAGGAACTTCTGGCCCTGGCCAGTGCGCCCGAAGCCTCGCCCAGGCCCGAAGCTTCGCCCGGGCGCTCTCTCAGAGAACCCTCCGAGGTTTTCAACGAGCAGTTGAAGCGATGGAACGTGCACATGAAGGCCAAGGATGGCGGCGAAGATCGATGGAACGGAAACGTTCGGATGACATGGTCCATCAGAATGTCGTGACGTCCTGAGCGAGGCTTGCAATACTCGTTAAAGCTTCGAAAGCATTGTTTCACCGGCTATGAATTAGTGACGGGCTCCAGAGCCGGCCGACAACAGAGAAGTTTTTGGTCAATGTTGGTCATGGCATGAACAACCAGCTGCTCTTTTGACTATGTCCGGCAGAGCAGGAGCCGCAGTACCAGCACGCAAGTACCCATATAGGGTCGGTGCTTACCTCAGCAGCAGAAAAGCAGCTGAGAACTACCACGGCCTGGGTTGCAGACCGTAAATCTGGCGTGCCATGTGGGTGACAAAAACGTTATCCTGGTCTTCAGGCATCACTCATAGGAGGCCAAAAGCGGTTTTAGCCTATTGGGGTTTTAGTAGGGATTGGGGTTCCCATGATAGGGTTCATATTAAGGAATCCCTACCCCAAGAATCTTAAACCCGCCTTTTGGCCTCCCATCCATCACGATTGCAACCGGGTTTTCGGGTTTCATTATCATGTTCACGGGGTTGATCCACAGACTCGCGCGTGATCCGGTTAGGGTTCTTGGGCTTCAGCAGGGGAGTGTCGGCTAAGCGCGTGTAATATATATATATATATATGTATATATATATATATATATATAGGGGCCCAAAGAATTACCTATACTGTTTCGGGGTTCCTCATTATAAGAACAACATTGTGGGCCGCAATACCCTATTCCAATCATCAAGGCCTCTATATTAGTCCCGCTCTTTTTTTCGGGATCGGGCTCGTAGAATCGGCGATTCGCAAGACAGGACGGACGAGCCTTGCAGTGTGCTGACGATGAGCTGAAGAGAGACAGGAAGTTCCTCCTGAAGGCAAGGCCACCCCATCTTTCAGTACACGATTGACAGCCTGGAACACCATCCCCCATGCCGGATTCGTGTTCTTGTTCTTATTCTTAGTCTTCTACTTCTTGTATCTTCTTGTTCTTATTGCTCTTATTATTCTTATTCTTAGTACTATTATTACAACTGCGTTTCTTTGTCATTATTGTGTGAATTGATTGTCCTGGGAGGCTCTGGTGAACAAACCCCAGGCCTTGGATTTCGTCCACCCCTCCTTGCGCTTTGACCCCGAGCTCGTGAAGGCGGGGTAGGCGGTTTAGGTGAGGTTTGGGGTTTAGCCCAGCTGCAAGAGGGTTCAGGGTTGGGTACGGCCCCCACTCAGTAATAGTTGAATAATATTCATAGTATAGATACATTACGACCTTAATAGTAGCCTTATTATAGACTCTGACTGTATGGGGGCAGAACCTAAGGTTTAGCCCAGGTGCAAGAGGGTTCAGGGTCAAGATTCCAGCTTGGCAAGGCAACTTAGGGGCTGGGGTCGAGGGTTTGGGGTTCAGGCTACAGCAGCTCTAGTTCGAGCAGTCTCGGATCGAGCTTGCTACTCCGGTATCGAAAACCGTTCCACCCATACAAGGATCAAGAATCCCAGAAAATCAGGAATACGCTTTAGTTCCTTGTCTTTTGCAAGGTTGCACCAGCAACTATATGTGGCAACAGCTGCATGCATACTAGTCGGTTCAACCTGAACCCTAGGCCGTAAACCCTAAGCCCCAAAACCCTAGAGCACCCTAAACCCTAAACCCTAAACCCCTAAACCCTAAACCCTAAGGGAAAAAAAAACCCTAGAGCATGAACCAGTAAGTCCCGACACCCTGGGCCTCAAACCCTCAGCCCCAACCCTACGCCCTTAACCCTGAGAACGTCCAAAACGCCAAGCCCTGAAGCCTAAAGCCCCGCCCCCAATACCGTTAACAGCGCCAAACTTCAATCTCAGAAACTTCGGGGTACTCATAAAAAACAGGAACGACCAGAAAGATAAGAGCAGCATTCTCAACAGCAAGACTCCTATGGATCCCTGACGTCTTGCAGATCGCGCTCGGCCAAGAGTATCACCCACCAAAATCGCCCCTATCTCCTAAGGAGAGGCCTGGTGGGCCTGGGCTGTTTGGTACTAAGCTCCGCCACTGGCGTTTAGGGTTTCGGGGTTAAGGGGTTTCGGGGTTTGGGGGTTTCGGGGGTTCGGGGTTAAGGGGTTTCGGGGTTTAGGGGTTTCGGGGTTCAGGGGTTTAGGGTTAATACGTCGGAGGGTCATATATTCTGGCAGCCAGCAAGCCCAGTGTCAAAAAAGGGGTTTAGGGGTTTAGGGTTTAGGGTTTAGCTAAACCCTAAGCTCTAAAGCTTACACTTCGGGCTCATGAAGACAGGAAGGCCCAACAGTGAAATTCGTCTAAAGGGTTGGTCTCTTTGGTCAGGTTTTGTGCTCAAGGCAAGACGGGCTTGGGGCTTATGGTGCAGTTCTTTTGAGTCTATGGTTAGTCATCTTCTCCTCCCGCGACGTTTTTTATTGTTTTCGCCAGGCTTCTTCTGACTGTTGTTGCTGGGCTTTTCTGTCGCTTTTGAGTGCTATGGCTACTTGAATGTTACTTGCTTCCCAAACCGTAAACCCCAACCCCTGCTTTAGTGTCTACAGACCTCGCCTGGTCATGCCGAGTGTGAGCGTCAAAACACCGCGCCGTGGATGTTGCAAGTTCAAGCATGACCAAGAGCTTGGGAGTGCCCAACATGACCAAAAATCCCCAATCAGGAGAGGAGCGGCCCGGCCCAATTGCCCAAAATCCCAACTTTGGAGGTATCTGAACATGCGCAAAAACCCGAAAAAGTCTTCAAAGCGAAACTTGCAGCTTGCAATTTTTATCGAACTTTGCAGGGGGTTGCAAAGACCACCGGACCGAAAGTCAAAAGGTCCCAGAGCATCCCAGAGCGTCCAGAAACACCGGGCTCCCGCAGATGCCCCGAGAAAAGGAAAGGAAAGGAAAGAGGCGGTTTAGGGTTTAGGGTTTAGGGGCCAAGACAGCTCCCGATAAACTGAACAATTTGTGGCGGTTCAGAAACGATTAGGCTCGTAAGAAGCAGCCCCCTTAGGAGAGGGAAGGCTTGGCTTGCAGAACAAGTCCCTGGGGCTTGCTCCGTAAAGCTGCGGTGCCAAACCCTAAGCCCTAAGCCCCGAATTCTAAGCCCTATAAGCCCTGAACTCTATATCCTAAAATCCTATAAACCCTAGACCCCAAAATGCAGCGCAAAGCCCGATTATACCTATAAGCCCTAAACCCCAAAACCCTTTACACCCTAAACCTCATAATTCCCCAAAATGCCCCATAAACCCTGTAACCCTATAGACCCTAATCCTTAATCCCTGTTAGTTATAGTACCCTTATAGATCCCGTATAGACCCCTTAATTTTTACAGGGAACCTTATTCTAACTACGGTTGATGGTATAAAGCCTGCATTACCCATAATAAGGAATATGCCATAAATCCCATAGTTTAGGGTCCTTCAGGAAATGCAGGATTTATATCATCAACAGTATAAAGGGTCCTGCAAGCCCCAACCCTAAACCCTAAACCCTAAGCCCTAAACCCTGAACCCTAAGCCCTAAACCCTGAACCCTAAGCCCTGAACCCTAAGCCCTAAACCCTAAGCCCTAAACCCTAAACCCTAAGCCCTAAGCCAGGGCGCAGAGCCCGGGCTTTCCCCCGAAGCCGAAGCCGAAGAGCCGGCGGTCGCGGCGCGCGCTGTCTCTGGAGCGGATGGAACGGGAGAGGCGTTGAGGGTTCAGGGTTCCTTTAAGGGATCTAAGGGGTTTAGGATTTGGGAGGGCTTCTTTATAGGGTTTAGGGTTTAGGGGGTTCAGGGAGGGTTTGAGGGTTTAGGGATGTTTCAGGGCTTGAGGGCTTGAAGGGTTTAGTCATTTAGGGTTTGAGCTTTAAGCAGTTTAGAGTTGAGGGTTGAGGGTTTAGGGTGAGGATGTTTAAGGTTCAGGTATATATGTTTAGGCAGTTTGGAGTTGAGGGTATAGGGTTGAAGGCGTCCTTGCGTGCAAGCCTGCAGCAAAACGGGGTGAAGGATGTTCAAGGTTTTTTGGCTGCATGGCTTGAGCCGGGTATATACAACACACGCGGATGTTTAAGGTTCAGGGCTCGGGGTTTGGGTTTCGAGCTTTACGTGGCCGTATTTCAACGTGCAATGACACTTGCGGGTGTTGTGGGGCGCAATCAGTCAGACTGCTGGGCTTGTGTCCATAAATCATTCTAGTTATAGTATACTGGGCCCCAAAACCCTATTCTAATTTTTAAGGCCCCTACATTAGACTGCTGGGCTTTTGTTTGGGTCTGGAGCCAGCACTGAAGTCTGCGAGGCATCGGAAGTTGCAGCAAGCAGCAGAGCCGGAGCCTCAAAACTCCCTACTTAGAGGATCATGGGACTTAGTAAGTAGGGTTATAAGTACCTTAATTGGGGTTATAAGTAGATATAACTATAGCTACCTTACTTATAACCCTACTTACTAAGTCCGATCCTCCAAGTATGGACAGGGCTTTCCGCCTTGAGGCTTGCCTCTTGGGTTCCAGCAGTAGTACCCTACTAGGATGCCCAGTGGTACCCTTATTCCCTTTTTGTAGTCCCAGGTTCCTTATTAAGGTACCCATTACCAAAAAGGGAGCCCTTGTTATTCCTAGGTTATTGGGCATCCTAGCCTAAACCTTAAACTCTAAACCCTTAACGCGGTAGAGGATACTACTGCCACCTGCACCACCAGCTGTCGGGTGGCTCGGCCCAACTGCTCATTCGAGAGTGGCAACCAGAAGCACAGAACATCGAACATGTATACAGAGTCCTGTGGAGCCGTAGATGAGTACACGAGGTTTCGCAGAAGCTATCGGCAGTACCAAACACGACGTTGGCGGCCTAAAGTACCTTTCGGTTGAAGCCCAAGCGCTTCCACTCCTCCTCTCTCCTTCTCGCTTCCGTCCCTCCACAAATTCAACCTCCTACGATGGACCCAAGCTGATTACATATATATATATATACATATGTATAGAGGAAGATGTGTGTATATACATACATACCCATGCACACACATACATATGCATATATAGATACAGACTTGTATGTAGGTATGTAAGCATGCTGACTTACTTAC